AAGATTACCATGAAAGACTATATGGTGGTAAAGTGTTGAAAAACCCCCTTGTTACATGCATTTTCAAAAATAGATATTTATAATACTAACCATTGTACTGTAGTCTGATTTATTAATAACTGCTGAATATTCAGCTAAACCCGCGGTATGAGTCACGAAAAGAGTTCTTCTTTTATTAATGCGCGAGTTATTCTTAAGTCACGAACAATTTTTGATCTGTTAATAAAATGTTTTGTTTAATGGGGAAATATTTATTTCCTGCTTATAATTTCTACAAATTATTGAGCTTACTCCTTAATTATAGCATAATTTGCTGTCCTACTTTTCGACAGCAGTAAATCGTTTCAGCAGTTATTTGCATAATTGCGCAATAATACAACGGGGCTACAGCGTTTTTATCAGTCAAATACGTTTATATTTTAACTTGGATAACTTAATTTAAAATTGAAAAGGCTAAATATGGAAGTTTTTAAGATATCCCGACGAAGTATGGGAGTATTATAGGATCAAATTCATGTACTATTTCGTGGACTGTTATTCGGTTGAGGACACATTGCGCGATTGTAGCCAACGAAATCCCATGTGTAGATGACATAGCTCTGAACGCGCCTGAGGGCGCGTCCGTCGCAAAAATGATTTTTACTCCGTTCGTTTATAAATTCGTTCTTTTTTCTTCTATCAAAGATATTTTAATAAAATACGCAATTTGTCGGTGTGATGAGTCAAGACATTAATACCCTTCGTGAAAATTTTCTTGCAAGTCAGCACGGAAAACAAGCATTTGCCGTACTGCGAAATGTCGGAGAGTCACTATTGTCGCTTGTTTATGGTACCCATATATAAAATATTAATTGACAGCTCGACGTTAGGACATACATTCTTTTGGGCGGAAAGTAGGAGTTTGTATGACAAATTGTCGAAATTTTCGACAAATAAAGGAAATATCTTAGCGCCAAATGTTAATTTTGATTTCCTCTATAATTAATGTATCGAAAACTCGATATCAGCCTGGCAGATGACGCTTTAAAAACATCAACCTTCTGACATATACAGTAGTGTTAAAACATATATGTAGTGTTAAAATTACACCACGAAAAGAAGAAATTGCATGGATGATATCTATTTTTTCGTATTTTTGAAGTTGAAAAGTCGATGGCGGAAACAGTATTCCGTAGTTTTCAGATATGTCTGTGTATGACCCACTTTATAGCGTAAAAAGCGGTGATTAACTTCCTGACAAAACACTCGCTCAGTCGTATTTTTCTACATTATATGAAAAACATTAAGGAAAAAAATTGAAGGCAAATTACGAGTTAACAAATCTAATTTCTTCTATTCAAACGACACTTGATATATTGACCTTGCAACACTTTCAGTTTTAAATTTCCGGTTTCAGGATGTCTTCTAAGTATTTCTCTTTATCTATTGTAACATGTCGCGGCTGATATATAAATGTTTATAATTTGAAGTCAACACTTTAATGTAATAAAAATAAGGAGGAAATCAATTCACGTGGATATCATTGTTTAAAATAACGGACACTTTTGTTCAATGAAGTGGATGTATGCGTAAGACCCTTGTAGTTATTGAATCCCGTCCTGCTTTTTAAGAAAAGCAAAGAAAAAATAAACGAATATATTTTGTCTTATCTTACAGCAGCAAGCCTCCAGATTCATGTTATTTTTCATAAAATTTTTGGAAATGTATTTAAAAGTAAAATAATGTTAGGTGAACAAATAAAGTTATTAACATATTGCAATCGGCACTTACAATCCACGAAAATTACCAAAAAGTGGTCAATATATGCAAAAGCAGCCCTTACTGCGTTACTAGTAACGTAGTAGAAATAAGTTGATAAAATACTGCAAAATCAGCGTTAAACCGCACATAACATGTAAAATATAAATTGGATCGTGAATGTTTTAACCGTTCTTAAAAGTTTAGTGCATTTTTCTCAATATTGATTTTCCTGAAATATTTTGGCTCATCTTGAGGCGTGTTTATTGAAAATGGCATTTTCGTAGAGGTGGATCTGAGTATATGACATCTAAAGTAGTTAAAAGAAGCAATCAGGTTAATACTCAGTACTGAGTGAAAAAATAGTAATATTGAATAAGTCAATGGGCTAATGTCTGTTATAGTAAAGATGCATGATCCCTTTGTACAAACCTTTGTACATTGTATAATAGTGTGAGAAATAAATCAAAGCAATCCTTAATTTAGAACTACATCATAAAATGTAATGTCATGATTTACTTGAAATTACATATTAATTAAACATAACGTTATGATATCGTTAAAGCAGAAACCTTGAGCCTTATTTTCTTTTAAAAAAATACAATCCATGTTAAAGTGACATTATGTCCATCCAAAGGTAAATAGTGAGGTTTCAAGAAAAATTAAGAAAAGCTTTATATGCTATCATTTTTGTTTTCATTTCTTTTAATATATGTCACCTGAGTATTCAATTATCCCTATTACCAACATAAAAATCTATAAATATCCTTCCAAAATCTTCAGATATCTTCAATTTTTGGTCGGGCCGTCCTTTGAGTTTTAGGCAATGTTTAAATTTTATTATTAACATTGTAATTTTCAATAAGTAATCGCCATCAAAATAGTCAGTCTTTTGAAATAAACATATATAATTTACCTCAACCTGACTGAAACAAAGGGGGCAAGTTGTCACATTAATTACCAAAATAGGTCACAATATGCAAAAATTGATCCTACTGCATTAGTCACGTAGTATAAATATATAGTGATAAATGCTGCAAAATCTGTCGTTAATCGCAAATGATGTGCAAATTATTATATTACTTTAAATCACAAGCATTTTATAAACGCAGGGAATTAATTCAGACGAATCTTCAGACACAATTATAAAACATGTTATTTTGTTGGTAATATTACTTTATTTTCATTCATTCTTAATGTATTGTTAATACAATTCAAACATGTATTTGTATCATTATCGGACACATGTTATCTTTGATTACGTGATGTTTAATTTCATTTGAATGTTATATGTTTTTTTTGTGTGTGTGTGTGACCATGTGCATTTTGTACACGTCTTATATGAATAAACTATCTACGTATCTACCTATGACTACAACTAAGAGAGTTTTAATTTTTATTTATATCTTTGCTCGTTTTCTCAAGTTTCATTTTTCTTGAAATATTTGTTTTCTCATCTGGTGGCACGCATGTTTAAAATTGCATTATCAATCATAATGCAATGGTAGCCTACCCGAGAATAACATCAAATAATCATTAAAAACATTAATCATTTCTGTGTTTTACTTATTTCACATGGTGTTAGAATTTTGCTTGACGGGGATTCAATTTTATAAAACCCGGATGAATTGCTCAGGGGCCCCCCCCCCCCGCTTTTTTTTTTCTTTTGTTTAAGGTTTTTGTTGTTTAGAAAGGAAAAAATAGCCCCCCCAGTTGGCCGGGGGTTTTTTTGTGTTTTGTGGGGGCTAACAGTGGTGTTTGGTGCACCATTAATCAATTAAAACTCCACAGCAGTGCTTATACTTCTAGCTGTACCAGCGCCCTCTGTGTTCCTCAGATATATGTCTTGTTTATTGTTACATACACTTGTGGTGGCACTTTTTCGTCCCTTCTGGTTTTCTCGTCCATTGTGAGTGTCCTATCTTTCCTCCTATTTTTTTAAGGTTTTACCCCCTTCCCCGGCTCCCCTTCTGGCCCACTTCATCTGCTCTCTTAGTGAATGCCGCCTTATCTTGTTGGTCTTGTTTTTCATCCGCCTCGAAGCGCGACGCTCCTTATGGACTGCAACTTCTCGGGCCTTTTCGTCGGCCATAATAGCCGAACATTCCAAGGGTATGACGGCTATCATTCATAACAACCTCGGACCACGCGGTAAAAATGACAATAAACATAGAAAACAAACACAGAAAGTGTAACCTTTAATAATGTATAAGAAATTTATATAATTGACATCCTTAGAAAAAGAAAACATTTTCCGGTATTATCAATTAAAAAAACACACACTGGTGTACAATAATTAACAAATCCGGATAAATGTCAACAGATACACATCCTGCACTTTCGTAAAAATATGTTACAGGATCTTTAAAAATTGTTAGTACGTATAAACAAAGTTAAATTGGTCGCGCGGCCAATTTAATTTTGTTTACTTAAAATCATCAATATAAATATGCTATAATTTAATTTCAATTGTTACAAAATGGATATTTTCCTTGCTAGATGTCATTGAATATAGTTTTATTCACAGAGGCTCAAATGGGGCAGTGGTAATGATTATTCCGAGTAGCAAATAAAAATAGGAATCAATTGTCAATTGTCACTGTTCAGAACTGTTCACTTATTAGGGAAGAAAATTTGTAAGCGGCCGGATAGCTCAGTCGGTAGAGCCGCGGAACGGTATTCCGAGGGTCCCGGGTTCGAGTTCCGGTCAGGCTGCACATGTTTCTCACCCTGTGACACAATAAAATAAAATGAAATAAATAAATACAATGAAAAATATAAACATAGATAATTAATGAAATGAAATTTACTCTCATTACATCAAAAGGTACATCCGCTGAATGAATTTTTTCCACTGAAAAAAGCCCATTTATCTTGAATCAATATTGGTAACAGTTTACAATCCGCTTCTTACATTGGATGTCTTTTTTATACCTTTTTTTTGCGGCAGCGAAAACAACTTGAAAAAAACTGCCTTATCATAAATAACTGTAATGTAGATTCTAGCTAACGATTTATTTATTTATTTATTTTACAAAAAAAGAAGACATTATGCCATTACGATAAAACAGTTATAGTATATGAAACTAGTTAGTTACGCGGATATAATACTGGCTGGGCGACATCTCGGGATGTTTCTGCAAAAAATTGTCTAGGCCTAACGGCCTCGCCAACTTTTAGCAGAAATATCCCTTGATGTCGCCCCAGCCAGTGTTATATCCTCGTTCATGTACTATATCTATTACATAAATTGTGCATGTTTTAAACTCTGTACACATTAGTCACCGACGGAGAAGTTGATAATATTCTATTTTTACAGCGAAGCGTCATACTTTCTAGAAGGTAGATTTCGCCTACTCGTGGAAACGGTCTACACAATCGTTTATATAGTTTTATACGCGTATTTTTTGTACATATATATTTACATGTTTGATCTTGTTATATTATATTTGGATATAAAAATTCATATGATCATAGTATTCCTATCAACAAAGGACAATTGACGTGTAAAATGAAAGAGAAACATTGTGATTAAAAATGAGGATTTGTGTAAGTAGTATTCCATTATAACATTTCTATTAATAGAAATTTTTGCGCCGTCTAGTAGATATGCATTTGTTCATATAGCAATGGGGAAAATTTAAGACTTGATTGATTTTGTGCATTTTAATCTTGGTTTAACAAAATCACATTGTTTTCAAATTTTCTTATAAAAATAGCTTTATAACAAACAAAAAAATCCTGAATTTGGTCTTTTTGAAATTCATCCAATTTTTTTATTCCAGAGTGTGTTCTACTTTCAGTATTGAAAGCAACCTTTTTTTTTTAATTTGACGTGAAAACAATGCATGTAATATTACTATATTATAATATTAGTCCCTTTTGTTACTATTTGTATATTTGTTACAATTATAATAATAGTAGGGGAGAAATGAGAGTTTTTGAGTATGGAAGGCGTAGGCGTAGAGGCGTTGACGTAATCAATTAGTGTATTGCGTCATGTGTATTGCATCAGCCGCGTATTATTACACCCCTGGGCTGAGAACGCGCGAAAGTAGATGCTTATCACACACGATTTATTAGTGTCATTTATGAATAATATTTATATTTAGAAAATGTGTATTGGTCATAGAAAAAGATGCTTATCAGTGTCAATAAATCGGAAAAGAAAGACGCTTATCGATCATTAGTATCATTTATTGTTAGATGTAAATGGTAGGCAAATCTTTTTCTGGCAATTTTTATGAAAGATACGGAATTGATTTTAACCGATTTCAACTGAAAGAATGAATACGAATTACGAATGTGGTACAAGCGGGATTTTTTGATAATTAAATTGAACAACAATGATATTTTTAAGAAGAAAAACGCTAATCGGGCATTGTAAAATGAAAAATATAGACAGTAGTAGTGTTAGTATTTCACTGGTGATTTTAATGAAAGATACTGGGCGATTTTATCAATTTCTTTTCAAAAAAAGGCACATTATGCCTCAGATATCCATATCAAATTTTATTAAACTCTTTAGAAATGTGAAAACATACGTTTAAATATGTTTTAATAATGGTTTAAGAGCATGTTAGATGTTTAACAGCTGTATAAATGTAGCAAATAAACTGAATGTACAGCAATGTTTCGTAAAGGTAACATGATGAAAACAAAGTGGTATCTGATTTTCCATTTCAATAAAAAAAATGGGGAAAAAATATAAAAATTTTAAACCCCAATAAAAACAAAAGCAAAAATTTTAAAGCATTCCCATATAAATCTTTAATGGAAAAACAATTTAACGGAAAGGGGCAAATATGTCAAATATTTTATTTTTTTCAAAAATGAAATGAAGCTTTTCCTGAGACAACGGGGCCTTAAATTAAGGGGGGAATTGATTGAAAGATATTTAAATGCTAAAGGGAAAATAAAAGGGATTATCAAAAATCAAAGGAAATTAAAGGGCTACATTAATGATATTTTTGAATGGGCCGGGATTTCTCGAAAGAGCTTTTTTAAATTAAAAATCCTTGTTTTTTTAAGCACTCGCAAAAAAAGGAAAAAAAACCTTCTGTCTTTGTTTACAAATAGGGTTTAAAAAGCCCAAATTAATCAAGTGCCATGGGGCCATTAAGGACATTTTTGACTTTCATATAAGCTTTTTCGAACTAATCTTTTTCAAAATTCATTCCAACATTCAACACAGATATATAGTTTTACAAACTTAATTTGAAAGGAAAGATCATTCATATCATTAAATAATAAGTTTTTTTAGTCGAAGAATTGTGAATAGTTATTTCTCATTAATGTACAAGATTATGTGTGTTTCATACAAAATTACCCTCCTACTACATATACACTGCTGAATGTTCAGCGCACCATTGAATCAAGACATCATTTTAAATAAATGAGTAGCAACACAAATTTAGCGATGAATAAAATAATAGAAGAAAATTTGGGCGCTTGTTGTCATTACAAGCTAGCTATGCAAATTATATTATGATAAAATTGAAGAGAAGCCTTGGTCGGCATGTTACGGATGGAATATGGAAATGTATCACGGGTCTGCGTAATGCTAAATCAGGAGAAAATTTAAATTATCACTTCGATGGAATACTACTCAACATCAACGAAAATCATATTTCCTGCGATCGGACAACAAAATGCGCCTCATCACAGAGTCGACACTTTTGCAAACATGAACTGTTTTTAATTTTCTATGTCGTGACTACAGATAAACTGTAATGGAAGGCTTTAAACTGGATTAAAAAATGTATTGAATTCATTTTCATTTTGCTTAGTAGCGCATACTCGAATTTGTTATAATCATTAAGTTGTATTGTCTATCATGTATTCACTCAAATGCATGTACATTAAGTGAACAGACCGGAATCCAAACAATATAAGGAAAAGGGAATCTAAGTACAAAATTTATGAAACCGAATTTTTGTCCTGCGATTGGTGTGTTAAAGGCCCATTATGCCCCAGAATTTGCTTTTCGATTTATTTCCCAAGGCCTTTTTTGTAGTCCTGTTATAGTTTTTAATAAGTTACTCAGTTACTCATTGGCCGAACCAATCTTTTTGCTTCTGTCGCCTTTTACTAACAGTACACTAGTACTAATGGTGATTAAGTATTTTGTATGGAAGCAAGCCCAAATACAACTTTGTTTACATTTTACTACTTATGTAACAAACTTTATTAGAAATAATTTACTTTCTTTACGTGGTAAGCATATAACACGCTCTAGAACCATAATTAAACGTTATAAAACTCGTGTTTGCCTTATCTTAACAAGTATTATATTTCTGAGGCATAATGTGTCCCCTTTTAAATTATCAAGAGTTATTTATGTCACAACCTTATCGTGTTCACTGGTTATAAGCGGTCACAACATATGTATGACTTCTAAATACACAAAAACAATGACCAAGCAAAACACTGTGTACGAGTAAAACGATTGTCATGGAGGCTTATTATTGATTTAAGATAACAAGGTTAGATGAAACGTGTTATCTATTTTAACCAGCTCCTATAGTTGTGCCTCGTGCACTGTAGTAAATATACTGCAGTAACGTGTGGAACTTGGATGATCATTTACATCGATCAGACGATTAAGACGCTACACGCGCATGAAGTTTCACAACAAGCAATACCGAAAGTGCTCACGAAGTGCTACTAGTTCAAATTGAAACTCCCTTAAAGTTTACGATCAAAAATGACGCAAGCAGCACTTATAAACTGAAAACTGATGTATCTTTATATACGGTCAGTGCTCATTTGAAACTAATTTTAGTGACCGTGCTAAGGGACTGGTTCTTTACCTATTTAACGTACAAATTATTATTTGTCGTTACCGACCGAATGAACAAGTGTTGAATATACGGTACATTAATTGAAGAAAGTGTGCAGATTATATATTACGTTATTTTACCAACAGTATGGAAATGTAACTGTGTATCGAGAAGACTGTTGAGAATGCCAAATGGCTCATACACTTAAAGTTTATAAAGCTATATATCTGATGCAAAATTATTGTAATGTATACTACCGATACAGAATTATGGTTGCACATACACCAATATAATTCAAATCAGTGAACAGTAGAAAAACGAGATGATATTCTATTCTAAATATCTCACCTCTGTGTACTTGTTGATTTTATTTTGAGTGTCTTAAATCGAAAAGTGTCATAAAATGTTATGTGGGTGTGCATGATTGCTCTCGCGCGTGTGTTATTGGTGTGTGTGTGTGTGTGTGTGTGTGTGTGTGTGTGTGTGTGTGTGGTTTTTAGCTCACCTGAGCATATGCTCAGGGTGAGCTATTAGGATCACTCTTCGTCCGTCGTCCGTCGTACGTCGTCCGTCGTCCGTCGTCCGTCGTACGTTGTCCGTTCACACTTTTCAAACGACATCTCCTCTGAAACCATAAGGCAGATCATAATGAAACTTCACAGGGATGTTCCTTGTGTGAAGCCTTACCAAAGTTGTTCAAAGAAATTCCATTCCATGCAGAAACTCTGGTTGCCATGGCAACCAAAAAAAAAAACTTTAAACATCTTCTTCTAGAAAACCCAAAGAGCTAGAGCTTAGATATTTGGCATGAAAAACATCTTCTAGTGAGTGTCTACCAAGATTGTTCAAATAAAATCCCTGGGGGTCAAAATTGGCCCCGCCCAAGGGGGTCATTGATTTTCCCTATATGCATATAGTAAAAACTTGAAAAAATCTTCTTTTAAAGAACTCAAAGAGCTAGAGCTTAGATATTTGGCATGAAACATCTTCTAGTGAGTGTCTACCAAGTTTGTTCAAATAAAAGCCCTGGGGTCAAAATTGGCCGCGTCCCAGGGGGTCATTGATTTTCCCTAAATGCATATAGTAAAAACTTTAAAAAATCTTTTTCTAAAAAACCGAAAGAGCTAGAGCTTAGATATTTGGCATGAAACATGTTCTAATGGATGTCTACCAAGTTTGTTCAAATAAAAGCCCTGGGGTCAAAATTGGCCCCGCCCTGGGGCTCATTGATTTTCCTTATATGCATATAGTAAAAACTTAAAAAAATCTTCTTCTAAAAAACCCAAAGAGCTATAGCTTAGATATTTGGCATTTAATATGTTCTAATGGATGTTTACCAAGTTTGTTCAAATAAAAGCCCTGGGGTCAAAATTGGCCTGCCCCAGGGGGTCATTGATTTTCCCTATATGCATATAGTAAACTTAAAAAATCTTCTTTTAAAGAACCAAAAGAGCTAGACCTAAGATATTAAGCATGAAACATCTTCTAATAAGTGTCTACCAAGATTGTTCAAATAAAAGCCCTGGGGTCAAAATTGGCCCGCGCCCAGGGGGTCATTGATTTTCCCTATATGCATATAGTAAAAACTTTAAAAAGTCTTCTTCTAAAAAACCCAAAGAACTAGAGCTTAGATATTTGGCATAAAACATGTTCTAATGGATGTCTACCAAGAGTGTTCAAATAAAAGCCCTGGGGTCAAAATTGGCCCAGCCCCAGGGGGTCATTGGTTTTCCCTATGTGCATATAGTAAAAAATTCAAAAAAATCT